ACAGTTTTAGCAGAACAATTCTGAGCATTAGTTCCGGTAACAGTGTAAACACTTGTTGAAGCCGGGCTAACAGAAATAGATGAGCTCGTTGAACCGTTATTCCAGATATAAGTTGCTCCACCAGTTGCCGTTAATTCCACTGTTTCGCCCGAACAAATAACAGCAGAAGAACTGTTCGCTGTAATTACAGGAACCGGGTTAACCGTTACCGTTTTTGTAAGCGTTGTAGTACAGCTAAACACATTTGTTCCTGTTACCGCATAAGTAGCGGTAGTTGCAGGCGTTAAAGTAATCGCTGAACCCGTTGCACCTGTACTCCATGAGTAAGAATTTGCTCCTGTTCCTGTTAAAGTAGAACTTTCCCCAGCACAAAGGATTGCTGGTACTGCATAAAGATTAAGAGCTGGTAAAGGATTTACAACAAATGATTTTACAAGTGTGCTTGAGCAACTGTTGCTACCAACACCACTTAAAGTATAAGAACCTGAAGCGGATGGCGTATAAGTAATTACTGAAGAAGAAGCGCTTGCATTAAATGAATAACTCACTGCACCAGAAACTGTTTGTGTAATGCTTCCACCGATACAAACCGCTGTTGGTCCGCTAACAGTTAAAGTTGGCGTAGGATTTACAGTTACCGATTGGATAATTGAATTAGCAGCACAATTTGTTCCACCTGTGATAGCTACTGCATAATTTCCTGTTGAGTTAGCTAAGAAAGTATTTGAAGTAGCTGACGTAACAGGAGTCCCGTTTTTCATCCATTGATAAGTTACCCCTGTTGAAGAAGGTACGCTTAATACCGGAGCAGCGTTTGCACAAGCTCCTACGGTAGCACCAGCAACACTTAAAGAAGTAGAAAGTGGTGAAGTACAACCTGGAATTCCCCAGATACTTAATGTACTACTTACTTCGTTGGCAGCGATAACAATGTACTGACCATTAGGACTATCTGTTTGTTTGATGAAAATAATTCCTTCAGCACCAAGATCAGGACCGTTAGTAGGAAGACTTCTGTTGTTTACATAAGTTACGAAAATAGGAGCCGTTGGACTTGTAACATCATAAACCATTACACCACCTGTGCGTTCTAAAGCAATAAATGCATAAGTTTTAGATCCGATAACACCAAGTGTTACACCTTCCGGTTCAGGACCTTTATCATCGCTTCTGTCTTTTTTGGTAGCATTCGAGTTGCTTGCGTTAAATAACACAGAGTAAGAATTAGTAGCTGTGATCATTTCAAAATCATCTTTGCTATCGTAAACCTGAACACCTGTAGCAGCATCCCAGATAGAGAACGAACGAGATCCTAAAGAGTAAATAGTATCGATGTCACCATCGTTATCTGAGTCACCGCTTTTATTTGTAAGAGATAATCTACCCAATACATAGTTATTTTT